TTTGGTTACAACGATAACTCTTTTCCACCTGATCATTCCATACGATACCTCACGGACTACCGCTTTAGTCTACCTCGCCTTAGTACGGACCGAGCCTAGAGAAGTATAGCCTAACCCCGTGTAACAGCAGACATATAAAAGGAGCAAAGTTTGTGCTAATAGAAGAGACTATTACCGCAGAAGAATGCGTATACAAGGTTAGCAAAGCACTAATATTAGAACATAGGATACTTAAGGAGTTTATTACTAATTGTAATAAACTATTTACGTCTAAATACTAGGACACATTTTTAGCAAAATTAGGTGTAAAGAAGAAGCTATTAACTAGCTTTTACTCTAAAACAGATAGCTAGACAGAAAGAACAAACTAGACACTAGAGCAGTATCTAAGGATGTACGCTAACAAACTGCAAGACAACTAGGTTGAACTCTTGCTAACAGCACAACTAGCCTACAACAGTACTAAGTTAGCAACAATAAAGTACTTACTACACTACGCAAACTACAGATATAAGCTAACTACTTACTAGAATCTAAAGGATATTAAAAGTATCGCAGTAGGAGCAGACGACAAAGCCCGCTTAATGCGAAAGCTACACAAAGAATTAAGCAAGAACATCGCTTACAGGAACCTTACATTAGCTAAAGCAGTAAATAAGCAAAGAATTAAGGGACTAACTTTTAAGAAGAGGGATAAAGTTTTCCTGTTACAACAGAACTTAAAAACTAAACAACTAAGTAAGAAACTAGATAACCTCTAAGTAGGACCGTTTAAGATTCTAGAGGAAATAGACATAGTAAACTATAAACTCTAACTGCTACTAGGCATGCGCGTCTACCCTGTCTTTTACAAGAAACTCCTAGAACCAGCACCTCTAGATGCCGAGCTAGCAACGGACATAGAGCTCGAAGACGACGAATACGAGGTCAAAGAAATTAGGGACCTGCAGAAAGTTAGTTGTTAGTAGAAATACTTAGTTAAGTAGCAAGGATAGCCTAAAAGCTAGAACACTTAGGAACTAAAAGAAAATTTAACAAACTGCAAGTTACAGGTACTTAAGTACCACTAGAAACACCTAGGGAAGCGAGGACTAGGTCCTTAAGGGAAAGGAAGTAATTAAAAGAAGGGTCGAAAGAAGCGTCAGCCTGTAACCAGCCTAAGTCAGTCAATAATCTGGGTAGCGATGGTTCGGTTGCCAGGAAGTCTGTACCCGGGGCAGAGTTCCTCTCAGCTTGCTCTTTCGCACGATCCTAAAGATTTAAAATGGCGAGATCTTGATTAGCAAATGACTGCTCTTGCGCCTCAGCCTCTAGGAGCTTGAGTTCGCTCTAAGCTAGCTAAGCTTTTAAACGCGCAACTTTAAGACGCTTCTCCTGTTTCTCCCGCTAAACCTTCTCCCACTCTTCCTCAGAAACAAACAGGCTACACTCAGCCTTCACTAAAATACAACCAGCACAGCGACCTGTCGCGGTATCTACAAAACAGCGAAGGTTCTTCTCTTCGCAGCGCTTACAACGGAAAGCTATCTCTAGACCCTGCTCTTTTACACGGTCAGCACGAGCGCGACGCTCAAGAGTCGAACTCTAGGGGCGAGAACGGCGGGAAGACGGAACCTTGGGCATGGTCAGGAGAAGTGAGGAAAGGAAAGAAGAGAGGCTACGACACCACAGGAACACCTAAACCTCCACCGCCGCCGCTGGACTAGGCGCGGGAAAACAATAATCTAGGGTATCAGGACGATACGCCTAAGAGGGGGGGTAATGTTACAAGGTAACAAGGAATTGCTTCTTTATGCGGGTCGCATAAAGGAAGACTATTAGGAAGCCACGACAAAGGCTTGATGATCAAAGGCGGGGCCTAGATCACGTAACTAACATCCCGCCAAGGCTAACCATCCGGGATGGCAGAACTACTTGGGATGGCGGAGCTATCACAAACATCCTATGCACTTGGGATGGACGGGATAGCAGGAACAGATTGCAATAGGTATAAAGGATAGACGGATTTTATTATTACACTCGTTGTGGTCAACTTAAATAGTTCATCTCTTACACAGATTGTTAACTAGTTATTCTATTATAGAATTAGTATTGTTTATCCTTTAGTTACAACGATAACTCTTTTCCACCTGATTATTCTATACGATACCTCACGGACTACCGCTTTAGTCTACCTCGCCTTAGTACGGACCGAGCCTAGAGAAGTATAGCCTAACCCCGTGTAACATTATACTGTCTTATTAGTATAATATAGTTAATGCTATACTTTTTAGTAATTTATTAGTATAAGAATTATTCTTCTAGATTATATAATTTAATTTCTATAATCGCTTCTTAAATTAGATTTATAGTAGTTAAGTTATAACGCGTTAAAGTTAGGGTGTTAATTTTAGTGGGGTGTTTAACTGGCGACCGTGTTCATCTGGCGCACGGTTACTGTAATGTGCAGCTGCAATGCGAGACTGCTGGCACCTGCAACGTGTAACCGGCGCCAAAACTCCCTCGTACTCGGGAATTTCTGATGGATACTTGACATCTTGCTCTTAGAACGACTATCGCTCAGGCTGCCCTAGAACCTTCATCCATTCAACCGCAGTCTTTGTATCAGAGCCCCATTGCACGTTCCGCAAAGCTGCAATCTGCTCCTTTTTACGCCCATAGAGAAACGCTTGGAGGTCCGAGATGAAAGTCCAGAACACGAATGTGTTGAGCGCATATGGAAGAAGAGCGGCTTCCGCGTGTATCTGACGACAAACGCGGAGGAGAGCGAGTCCATCTTGAATGGGGTGTCTACCACGACCCAATCCTGCCTTTGTGAACACAACCGTGTTCACGTCGATGATAAGAGTGTAGATCATGTTCCGGATTTCGGGAGGAAGTCGAAGCAGAGGTGAGGATGTGGCGTTGCGCTGGGCGATCTCGATTATCCGCTGGTCACTGATTATACAATTAGTATAAGTTGTTCGGCTAAACCGCACAGGTCATCTGACCTGGCAGCGAGTGGAGACCCCGGTCCTGTTGTTCGGACCTCGACCCTGCAGTCCTCGGCCCCGTTGGCACTTCGTGGTTTAGACATGTTCGATGTTTCGTAAGATGTAAAGTATAGAAAACAGTTGATGTGAGCTGTAAGTAAGAGGTTGTTGGGGAAGGCCTGGGAAGTAGGGTTTATATATACTAGGTTAGTAACTTAGCGTGCGACAAGTGAAGGCAACCGAGAGATGAGAGAGAGAATACAAGAGTGTCATGTGAGAGATCTGAGTGGCTCAATACCGGGTATCAGTGGCAGTTGGCCAGGTGAAAGTAAGATTGGAGCGCTCCAAGATACATAGCATGTTGGGTCTTCGACAAGTATTCATTCTTCAATTTACCATTAAGCCTTGGTTAATCTGTGAATCTCCTCAAAGTAAAACTTGAGGTCGTCTGGCTTGACGAAAGGAGTGATGCCATGACCAAGGTTCGCAATCCATCCCTGCTTGCCACCACCGAATCCAGCGACCATCTCCTCCACGACCTTTGTGATGGATTCCCTGCTGCCGTACAAAACACCCGGGTCCGCATTACCCTGCAGAACCTTGCCCTTTGCTTGCGCAACCTTGTATGCCTCCGCGGGCGCATGTAGCCAGTCGAGACCAATGGTGTTGTATTTGCTGTTGCAAAGATCCTCCAGCGCATACCACGCTCCCTTCGCAAAGACGGTCATGGGAACAGGCTCAAGGCCCTTTGATTGCAGACGCGCGGGCAGATTGTCGGCGATGTAGTTCAGGTAGGGAAGCGCAAAGGTCTTGAAGCATGACGGCGACAGCTCACCCGCCCAGGAATCGAAGACTTGGATCATCTACACGGGTTAGTGCAAGACTTCGGCCCTGCTTCGGACAACATACCTGTGCTCCGGCCTGGACTTGGAGAGCCAGGTACTCGACGCAAAGTTCAGCAATCTTCTGCAGCAGCGCTTTGCTCTCCTCGGGGTACTTGTAGATCCATGTCTTGGTCTGAATGAACATCTTGCTGCCACCTCCCTCGACCATGTAGCACAGCAGCGTCCACGGCGCACCACAGAAGCCAATCAGCGGCACCCTGCCTGCCAGTTTCTGTCTGGTCATGGTGATCGCCTTGTAGACATAGTCGAGCGACTCTGCTACATCCACCTTCCTCTCGAGAACCTCCTTGTACTGCTTGTCCTCTGGCGTTTGCAGCGGGTCGGGGAAGTGCGGGCCCTTTTTGTCCACCATTATGACTTCCATGCCCATTGCCTGCGGGATTACGAGGATGTCGGAGAAGATGATGGCGGCGTCGATGAGGCCGGCGTAGCGCTCAATGGGCTGGAGAGTGAGGGTCGAGGCAATCTCGGGGCTGCGACAGCACTCGAAGAAGTCATTCTTGCCCTTTGCTTCGTGGTACTCGGGGAGGTAGCGGCCGGCTGCACGTCGTCAGCATGCGATAGACATGTTATGGAGCATGCCTACCTTGTCGCATCACCCATATCGGCGGGCGCTCGACTTTTTCGCCTGCAGAGGGTCAATCCAGACTGTTTGTAGGCCAAGCAGAGAAGGGGTCTTGACCTCTCGCTGTGCGCAGAATGAGGTCATTCTTCATGGGCTCGAATTGGGGAGCCATTTCTGCTGTGGATGAAAGTTGGATGCATGTCATCGGCGTCGTAACTTTGTAGTTCCGAATACCCCGCGCGTGCAGCTTCGACGCTAACTGCATCGAGACGCGTTCCTGCATCCCCTACCATCGCGCTTGACCCACATCCCTCTAACGCCAATTTTACCCCGAGGATGCTTCTTAGACATGTCCGGTATTCGACATGTCATGACTTGGCGTGCCGGTGCAACCCACGTCACTTCACCCGCAGAGCCTACAATACATCGTCACCGGCGAGCCTCTCGTCCCTAAGCTCGACGCGACCCATCGCGAAACCACGTGCCACACATGACATCGGTCGAACAAGTCTTGCACTATCGCAATGCCGCGGCGCGAAGCGAAAGTCTGCAGTGACTCTTGACCAGCTTCAACAAGGGCCTCTGGAAGCCGAGGCGCTGCCGCCGCAAGATGATGCAGAACCGGAATATCCGCCGCTGTTGCAACAAGTGCGCAACAACATGCTCAAGTTTCGTCACTGTGTGCTAGTCACACGCGTAGGCGGCTTTTACGAGGTGCGCAAGCAAGCTATTACCTCAAACTAGTGCTGAGGGATCGTATAGCTATACTTTGAGCATGCAGACGAATTTGCGCCGTTGTTGAACATCAAAAAGTCCAAGCGAAGAGTTTCCAAGGGAAGCAAGAAGCCTGCCATCTCCATGGTTCGTAGTGCATGTCAGAAATCACCTACAATGCTGATATCATCAGGCTGGTTTCCCTGCCTATCAGCTAGACAGATATCTGAAGATATTGGTTCAGGACCTCAACAAGCATGTCGCTATCAGCGACGAGTTCCTCAACGATGCACCAACCAAAGCAAAAGGCGAATCGCAGTATACACGTAGGGTGTCGCGCATCGTAACACCAGGCACTCTTATCGACGAGCATTTCATGGATCCATGGGAGAACAATTATCTCCTTAGCATCCATGTCAGCCCCGAGGTGATCACACAAGAGGAGGTCGTGAACCAGAGTCCTGGCAGATCCAGTGTGCCATCTGTCCTCAACCTCCCGCGCACGGAGGTCGGCCTGGCCTGGATCGATCTTTCAAGTGGCGACTTCCTCACGCAAAGTACAGACATCGCGTCGTTGCCGTCAGCAGTAGCCCGTATCAAGCCTCGAGAGATTGTGCTAGACAGTGTCTTCCAAGAGCAAAACCATTCGCGAATCGTTCCCATTCTGCAAGAAGACGGGCATATTATCACGTTCCAAGACCCCCTAGGGGTGCCACTTACCGTTAAGGATTGGAGATCTATGTTGGAAGATGTAGTGGACGACTATGACATAGGCGACTTCACTCCGAGCGAAGTCGCTGCGGGAGGGTCGCTATTGCATTACGTTAAGCACCAGCTGCTCGGTTCGCGCAGTCGACTTCGTGCGCCAGTACGGCATCAAGCCGAAGAGCATATGAGCATCGACAAGAACAGTCTAAGGGCGCTGGAGATCCGAGCTACCATCCGTGAAGGTACTTACGAGGGAAGCTTACTGCATGCGCTCAAGAAGACAATCACAAAGAGTGGCACAAGACTGCTTACGCAGCGTCTGTGTAAGTCAGTCTTCATGATCGACGATGTCGTATTACTAACATTCCCAAGCTGCACCATCAATGTCACTATCAACCATCAACGACAGACTAGATCTCGTTGAAGAGATGATACAGTACCCGCAGCTCCGCCAAGACATCAGATCGCTCTTAGAACAGACCTTTGACACTTTGCGCTTAGTGACAAGGTTCACTTACGGTCGTGGTGACGCTGACGATCTGATCGAGTTGTCAAAAACTATCCTTACCACCGCCTACATCGTGGACGTACTGCACGAGCATGTAAAATCCAGGATATCCATACCCGTCGATCCCACATCGGCGGCATCAGAGTATCGAAGAAGGGAGTGCATATCCATGCTAGAACGTCGATTTGATCTAGTACAACCACTCGAGCTCGCGAACCGCATACAGGATGCCATCGATGAAGAAGGTCTGTCTGAGTATCACAGTATGGAAAGTGAGGAAGCCGAGGGGATGTCAAATCTGGCTCAGGATGTGGTTGGCCGAGAAGCCGGAGAA